CTTCTTGATGATTTGCTGCCTTCTGTTTGCCAGTATTTTATTGAGAATTTTTGCATCTGTGTTCATGAAGGAGATTGGCGTGAAGTTCTCTTTTGTGGTTGGGTCTTTGTCTGGTTTTGGTACTAGAGTAATACTTGCTTCCAAGAATGAGTTAGGGACAATTGCTTCCCTTTCAATTTCATGGAATAGTCTGAGGATTGTCAGCATTAAGTCTGCCTTGAATTTCTTGTAGAATTCCTTGAATTTCTTGTAGATGGATTCTTGAAGGGAATCCATCAGAAGCTGGGCTTTTCTTTGTTGGTAAGGTTTTAATTACATTTTCAGTTTCATTAAATGTAATTGCATTATTCAGCAGTTTTATACCTTCTTGATCTAGGTTTGGTAGTTCCTGTGTTTCTAGGAATCTGTCCATTTCTTCTGTGTTATGAAACCTATGAGAGAAGAGTTTCTCAAAGTAGGTGTAGGCAAGGTGTCTGTCATTTTTTGGGTTGAGAATATCTATCCCTACTGCAAAGAGTTTCCCCAGTTGAGGGCCGGTTTTTAGACAGACCTTACCAGGTGGCTCCCAGGAACTCGAAATGGCTGGGCAGGACCCAACTAGCCAGAGGGTACTTTTCTAGAGGTCTTCCACTAATGGGGGACACTGGGCAGGGCCCTACCAGGATCTGAGGGACGTAGGACGTGCTGCTGCTGCTGTAAGATGGAAATTGCTGCATGTGCTTTCAGCTCGTAGACGGAGAACAGGTGGCTCCAGGCTTCTTGAGGGTTTCTGGATGGGGCCTAACCAGGCCAAGAGGGCCCTAACCAAGCCCTGTCTACTTCCTGGGGCCCTCTGCTGATGGGTGATTCTGGGCGGAGTCCTACCAGACTCTCAGCAATGTACCAAGGCTGCTCCTTTGGATGGAAATCACTGCATGCCTAGGAATGAATTTAGAAGTACTCCTTCCTTTACAATTTTTTTTAAAGATTGTGAGGAGTAGTACTATTACAACCTCCCTGAAAGTCCTGTGAAATTCAGTAGGGAATCCATCAGGTCCTGGACTTTTCTTTCTTGTTAGGTTTTTAATATCTGTCTCAACTTCATAACCAGTTATTGGATTGTTCAATGTTCTTGTATAGAGGTACATCAGTTCATGAACTGAATGCTTTCTGTGATTCAGGTCTCAAACCCAATTGGGCCAGAACCTAAGGAGGTTTCCCCTATTGGCCACACATTGAATCTCACCACTGAAGTTGATTTGGTTCTGATTCAATTCTATTTGAGACCAAGAATTAAATTCATGAACCGAGGTACCACTGTATTTTCTTACCTACCTTTTGATAATTCATATGTGTCTAGGCATCTGTGTAATTTTTCAAGACTCTCTCCAATTTGTTGCAGTACAAATTTTGATAGTAGTTTTTAATGATCTGGATATTAGTAGCCTTCTTTGCATTTTTGCCTGACTTATTTGTAATTACATTGATTTAAGTTTTCTGTTTTGGGGAAAGATTGACTAAGGACTTGTCTATTTTGTTTATTTTAAAGAACAAGCTCATTGATTTGTTGATTTTTTTTAGTCTCAATTTTGTTAATTTGTGCTCTGATTTTCTTTATGGTGCTAAGTTTGGGTTTGGACTGTTCTTGTTTTTCTAGTGTCTCAACGTGCATCAGTAGGTTTTTGATTGTTCTTACCTCACTCTTCCTTTCTAATGTGAGCATTCACAATGAACTTCCCTCTTAGCACTGGTTTGGTTGCGTTCCAATCAGCTCTGGTACTTTGTACTGGCAGTATCACTGGATTCCAGGAATTGTTTACCTTTTTCCCTTATTGCCTCTATGACCCAGTGAGTGTATAGAAGTGAGTTATTTAATGTCCAGATGTTTATAAAATGGTGGCAAGACTGCTTGCTTAGCAAGGTGACAGCCTGTGTGGCTTCTCTAGTAACACAGAAAATAATTAACATGAAAATAGTTTCTGAAGCACCTAGTTCCTGCTAAGCTATGTTGTGGGCAAGGTGATGTGAGTGATGGTGGGGAGGCACTGCTCCTGCCTGCAGGGAGTTTATAATCCAAAATGGGATGGGGAGATCAGGATCACCCTGCCGGGGGACTCACAGAGAAGTCTGTAGAATAAAAAGCTACCGAATACCCACAAAGGAAGGATCTAGTTCTAGTGGGGTGCTCCATGAAGGACAGACCCCAGATGTTGAGAGATTTGGCAGGGAAATGGCCCTGAAGAGGAGCAGTGTCTCAAGTAGCTGGAGCAAGGCACAAGGGTCTACAGGGAAGTGGCTGCAGGAGCCAGCACCAGGGGTCCTGGGAGGATCATGCACAGTGAGCTGGGCTGAGGTCTGGTGCAGGAAGAGGGGCATGGTGCAACAAGGCCTCCCCCAAGGTGACCATCTATTCCAGCAGAGTCACAGATATCAGAAAGCATTCATGTCAGTCACAGGGGACAGCTGATGTAGGTAGGAGCAGAGTGACAGAGAGGGAGCTGCTTGTTCCAAGTGTAAGTGGTGAGGGCAAAGTGAAAGCAAGTAAGAGACCAGATAGGTTGCAGGGGGAAGCAAAAATGCCAGATTCTGGATCATAAAAGGGCAGAGGACAGGAAGCCATCCCAGAGGGGCAGTGAAGGAGGACAGGAGGAGGGCACAGTGTGGACGAGGTGACATCCTTGTTTGTGCTTTGGAGGATGGCTCACCCTCTGGGTCAGCTGTTCACCCTCTGGGTCAGCTGTTCACCCTCCAGGTCAGCTGCTCCCCAAGAGTCACAGCAGGCATAGAGGGGTTGCCTGGCCATTAGCATGACAACTGTACACAGCTGGGATGGCCAAGTTCTGATTGTTTTCTACTAATTCATTCCTGTTGCATTTGATAGAAGCATAGGTTATGAGAAATTGTTTACTAACCAAAAGAGAGTTGGACCTGCCTGCCCCTGGTTTGAGAGGCAGAGCCCCAACAGGGATGTGGTCTGGAGCTCAGGGACATCAGAAGCAAGGGCCTAAACTGTGCCAAGGACAGGGCAGATTCTGGGCACGACAGGGTCGAATCAGAGGCAGCACAGATCAAATTCTAGGAAGAAGGACCAGACAAGAGGACTGGGGTAGGAGATGCTCTGACCCGCCAGAAGCTCATTGTCCACGTGCAGTCTAAAGTATGTCCCTGACAAGCTGTTTCTGATGGTTTTGGGAAACCTGTGCAAGATTTTCTCCAGACTATATGAAGGTACCATGACACACACACGCCCCACACTACCCAACACGATCCTCCCATGCCTGATGCCAGTGACAGTAACCCCTGTGTCCCCAGAGGAAAGCATTCATGTGAATCAGCATCCGATGGCCACACAGGCCATAGGAGATCTCCACTTGGTCAGAGCTGTAGTTCTCAGTGATCCCAAACTCTGAGGCTGAAACAGGTTAGACCAGAAGAAGAACATTGTGGTGACAGAGCTGAGCCCACCCGACCGAGGCCCGTGGTCAGCTGGGGTGGCAGGGAGGGGGCTGCAACAGTCAGGCCCTCTCTCTCAGGTCACATCCCCAGCCAAAGCCCTGGCCCCCACCATCCAAGTGGCAGAGAATAGCAGATGTGGACGCAGGTAAGCACATGGATCCAGATGGGGAGGGGGCTGGCTTCTGGGGAGCAGGGCCTGGGATGCCTGGCTTTGGAGGCTTCCAGGGGCTCTGCTTCCTTAGTCTCTGCAGAAAAGAGGCAGAAAACTCCTGCTCCACTGTGGTGTGCCAGGCCCCTGCCATCTCCCACATCCACTGCAAGTACTGAACAAACAGAGGTTAGTGCCTCTAGAGAGCACTGAAGGAAGTTACTTTCATGGAGGAATATACTTTCATGGGATGCAATCTGAAACTGAGTAGAGTGTGAATTATGAAAGAACGCGCCCTCCTATCCGCACTTCCCACGGCTCAGCCACCTGAGTGTCTGCAGTGTTTTCTCCTGGCCTTGTTTCCAGGCTTGGTTCTTCTGATTCCAGTTCATGGTGCCGGGTGGTGCAGGTATGGCAGGATGACATGGTCCCTGGGGCAGTCTCCATGCTCCTGAAAAGTCTTTGCCAATCCTGATACCTGCCTGTTTTTGAGGAGGGGAAGTTGTTGCCTTGGTAAGGGCGGATCTGGGGCTGTCTAGACACCCCTGTAGGAGCCAATTTGAGCAGCTCCGCTTGAATGCAGAACAATTGCTTCCGCATCAGTTCAACTGAGTCTTGTTGCCATGCCCTGATATGTACAGAGTTGACTATAGTATGTCCATCATCCTTCACCTGGCTCTAAGCTATGCAAATAAGGGCAGCCAAGATACTGATATGTAAACTTTAAGGCCAAGTGACATTTTCCACACACTGTGTTCCCTGTGAAAGAGTTGAACACAGTGGGATGGCAGAACCAGTCAGCTCCAGCAATGTCCACTCTGTATGAGCCTCTAAATAAAAGTCCAAGACCTCCTAGGGTAAAAAGGTTTACATATCAGAGAATGAAGCAATGGCCTCCTAAAAGTGTTCAACTGCTACTCTGATTGTGTTATGCAGACTGGTCTTTCTGCATATCATTCTCCTTGCATATTGCACAGATGCTTTTCTCCCCACCTGGCTAGGCATGTAAAACAAAATTCCTCATGTAGTTCATGCCATCCTCACTGTGAGTCATTCTTGGACCACTGGTTTCTTCATGAGATAATACACTGTGGGAGAGACCTTACATCAAGGCCTTTGTCTGTGTATCCTCACTTGGATCAGACTTGGGATTCCTTGGCTGCCCAGAACTTAGACTCAGGCTTAGTGTCTTTACTCTCACCAAGAGTTGCATTGGAGGTGGTAGATGGGTGTTAACTTGCTGAGATTCCAATTAGGTTTCAGTGGAACCAAAATATATCTTTCCGGATTGTGAAGAGGAATGCAAAAGGAATTATAGTATTTGGATTATAATATATGATATTTGGATTACAGTATATGGCATTTGGATTATAATATATAATCTTTGTATTGCAATATAGCTCCTCTTTTTCTTCATCCTCATGAGCCCTGTACAGTGCCTGCACCCTGCTAAGTGCAGTAATCCAAGAAGGCAAGGGAGACTGGCAGCTCCATGGCTCAGCCACGCCCAGGAAGGCCCCCTTCTGTGTGGAGGCATGAGACTACCCAGGCAGAACAGAGAAGCAGCCTACAGGACACACAGGTACAGGCTAGAGGAAGGGGCTGCTGGCTCATACAATCTGCAGGTTTTCCACATGCAGGCCTGGAGGGAGCACCCTCTGTGTGGAGCAGTGCAAGCACCTACCTGTCTGTCGGTCCAACAGTGCTAACAGTGAGCCCCAAGGCCCCCAGACAAGCTGAGCTCCAGACACGTGGCACTGACAGATGGTAAGGAGCAAACAGCAGTGTCCATGGGAGGGAAAGAGGACATTTTAAACAAAGTGACCAAGGAGGCCCTGGCAGAAGGTGACATTGGGAGACACCCAGGTGGGCGAGGTTCAGTCACCAGAGATAAGGAGCCAGGTGGTATAACTCGGGTAGCAGTAGCCCAGAAGGTCAGGGCCATGGGACTGAGTGAGGTGACAGTAGAAGATCCAGGAGAGTGAGGGGTCCAAAGGCAGCATGGCCAAAAGAGCTTGCAGGGGAAGCAGGAGTAGGGGAACCGAGAGGTGCAAGGCATAGGAGGGACCAGTGGTGCCCCAGGCTTTACACATGCTCTGACTGCACATGGAGAGGGCTAGGGGAGCAGGGGAGGAGGGGACACCCCAGAGACAAAGGCTGAGATTCAGCTTGGGATATTGAAGAGCAGCTCCTTTGTTGAAGAATGGTAGAGGATTCAGAGATGGCCCTAAGGAGTTAGGTCTGAGAAGACAGAAGGATGACAATGGCGTTGACAATACTGGGCGTGGGTAGCCTGGGCAGTGGCAGCTGGGGCTGAGTGTGGTATGTTTGTGCATGGTGCTAGTCAGCCAACCACTGGGGGCTTGTGGCGGGGGCCAGAAGAAAGCATCTCAGCCAGGGCATGAGGGCTGGGACAGGTGATGGTGGGGGCAAAACTGCCGTGACAGACAAGAAGGGCCCGGGAACACCTATGCTACTCAGAGGGATAAGGGGACAACAAAAATTACAAAGGTCGAGCGTCCTTGGGGGGAACAATCCAAGTCCCAGACAGGTGCTTTCTGGATCTGAAGCTCTGCAGGGCTTGGGAGCAGCTCTCCATCTAATTTTCCTCTCACATCTCTGTTAGCTGAGGTCTGTGCTCCACCCTCTCTGCTTCACCTGCAACCTCCTCCAACCCTCAGGACAGACAGCCTCAGAGGTTCCAGGGTATTCAGAGCAGCAGGGGCAAGGTGAGGCTTGATGGAGGTGGATGGCTGTCCTGCCTGGTCTTGTGAGATGGGCTGGAGCTGTCCCCAGATGCACGAGTTCTTTGTAATTCTTTCTCCTGCACTCCTCCACACCCATCTCTGAGTGGGCTGCTTCAGGCTTTGTGTTTTTTTTAAACCATTTCAAAGTCTTGGAAAACAAGACAATGGTGCTCCTCACTCACCAGTTTTTCTACATATAGTAGCCCCTTCATGTCTGGGGTTCAAAACATGTGGATGCAACTCTAACCAGACTGTAAACATTTGGGGAAAAAGTGTGCCTGAACTGACTGTGACCAAATTTCTTTTCCTTTTTAGCCTCCTAAAATGCAGAATAACAACTACTTCCCTAGCATTTGCATTGGTTCAGGCATTATAATAATCTAGTGAGGATTGAAAGTGTATGGGGGCAGCACACAGTGCATCATTTTGTAGAAGGGAAGAGAGCATCTGCAGTCGGATAGTTTTGGCAGGATGGATGTGTGTGTACTGGAAGCAATCCTCCATGGACATAAACAGAGAAGTACACAGAAACTTTGAAGCAGGGGTGGAGAGGTAGTTCACGAGTAGAGCACTTGGCCAACAGTGCTCAAGACCCTAAATTTGATCTCCATCCCTGACCAAGTCATGTGGAAAAAAACCCCAAACCAACAGGGCATGGTGGCATACACCTGTGGCACTTAGGGAGGCTGAATAATTAGCTTTCCCACCTCTGTGTGTTATGGTTGATACACTGTGTCAGTTTAAGTTTAGAAGGTTACCTCAGAGACCCTGCAGGGAGCCAGCATATTTTTAAATATTCTGAGCCTGTGTAAGAGCAGGGCATGGAGAGGGTGTGAGTGCTACACCCAACCTAGAGTGGGGGTGGAGTATAGGGGAGGAAAAGAGTCTTGTTTCCTGGCTTTTACTCTGGCTGCTTTTGGTGACTGCTGCCTGGTGCCCTGCTACCCTCCTTGCCTTGGATTTAGGTGAGTATGGACAGAAACCTCCACAAACAGATAAATAAACCTTTCTTTCCTTCATTTCAAGGTGTTGGGTGTGTTTTGTCCCAGCAACAAGAAACATGTAACCAAGACACTGAGACACAGTACTGACCCCCACAGTTTAATGAAGGAAACATTTTATTGGGACCTCAGTTTCTGAGGACTTAGTCCAAGACTGGCTGGCTCACAAATAAAACCATCATGGCAAAGGGGTGCAACAGAGCAAAGGTGCTTGGTTCAAGTGACTGGGAAGCAGAGATGTGGAAAATCACAACAGAAGACAAGGCCGGGGCCACACACCCCTAGACCAACCCACCAGGATCTACCCAGATATACCCAGAGGTGAGTTCCTCCTTCTGGTAACACCTTCCAGGAGATCACCAAAGCAACCAAGTTCCCATTCTACCCTCAGTGTGACAGTAGCTGAGGTAGAGGATTGAAAGTTCATGGCCAGCCTTGCAATCTAGTGACTTCCTGAGACCCTGGGAATGAAGAATGCCTGACTGTGTGTTTTTGCTTAAGAAAGCTATTGGTTAATAGGTGTGAGATCATCGGTTTGAATCCCTGTGGATGTCTGGGGGCTACTGGATATTGGGGATTGCACAGAATGTTTGAAGGGTCTCTGAGATGAATTAGCACAGGAGTGGCATCAAAAGCATGTAGCGGCATGGGCTGGTGGTATCCCAATCTATAGGATTGATACGGGAGGGGGAAGAAGTTGTGTGGTATTGACAGCACAGGGTGGTGGAGTCAAAAAAGAGAAAGCCGTGAGAAGGGAGGAAGTGAAACAGAAGTTGAACTTTTGGAGGATATCTCTGCCTAATAGGGGTGCTGGTAAGTTTGAAATTGTAAGTAAATTATGGGTGAAGAAAGGTTTGGAATCAGGAGGGGATGGGTCCTGTTTGGATGGGTTGTTCAGGTTTTCCCTCAACACCTACAGCAGAGATTATGGATTGGATAGAGGAACCAAAGTCAGGAAGAATATTGTAACCAGCCCCTGTGTCAATAAGAAAAGGAGAGTGTCTTACCTAAGATATGCAGTGAAAGTTGGGGTTCTGAGAGATACCTTGATGGGTGCCATGGACCCATCAATACCTGTCAATCCTCTTCAGTGGTGAGACTGAGTAGAACAGCTAAGGAAGAGTCTAGTGTTGGTGGCGATGAGATCCCCTGTGAGGGTAGGGAGTTAGATGACTTACCTGTTCTCTGGAAGACAGGGCAGTTGTAGTTCCAGTGACCCTCCTGGTTGCAGAGGAGGCAAGGTCTTGGTGGTGGCCATGAGTTCTGGAAGGGCTCATGCCCAGCATCCTTCTTTCCTGTGCATGAAGCATGGTGTAGAGGTTGTTCTGGTGACACCATTTTGTTTTTATTTATCTTTCCCAGAAGCCTTGAGTGCTGCATCCAAAAGTGGGCATACAATATTAGTCTTCTCAAGATGATCTTGTTGTGGTTGCTCCTATCTATTATTGAAGACATGAAAGGTCAGATTGAGAAGATCTCTTTGCTGCCATTAGTGGGCCAAATTTTTTTTTTTTTTTTTTTGTAGTTTGGATGTCACGTGTAGGTTGATAATAAAAGGGGGTTAAAGGTTATTCCCTCAGCAGATTAGGGGTTAAAATTAGTGCATTTAGTTAGAGTAACTGTAAGATAAGAAAGAAATTCCACAGGGTTTTCCTCAGTGTGTTGAGTGTGGTTTTGATTATAAAATTATATAAGCTAGTTACTTTGTGAGAAATTTGGTTTAGGCCTACAATAATGAAGATGGTCATTCATATGTTGTGAGCCATGTTCTCCTTGGTAATCCCAATTGGGGTCTGCATTTGGTACTGCAGTGTCCCCAGCAGGATGGTTAAGATTAGTTTGGTGTCTATAGTCAGCCTCATTTGGGGCCCCTTTCCATAGTTGAGGTGTTTGTTTAAGGAGAAAGGGTAGCTGTAAGAACAATGTAGAGAACTTTATCATGTAAATCATAGGAATTAATCTCAGATTGGAGCTCTTTTATGTATTTGTGGGGATGTGTAGAGAAGGAGCCACGTCTATGGGAGATCTGGCACAGCTTGGACAGAGTAAAAGGGACTTGAACAAGGACTAGCCCTTTAGGGGTTTGAGGGGTGACAGTCAGCCAGAAGACAGTGGTGGTTGGAGAGAAGATGGCTGGAGGTGTGGGAGTTAGATTTGGTGTGGTTTTCCGTAGGAAAAATGGCAATGGAGGAGTAGGGGAGGAGAAAGTGGTGGAGGCAATGGACTGAAGAGATAGAATAAGTGTGTCTAGAGGAGAAAATGGTGATGGAGGACAGGAGGAAGAGGAGGAGGATGAAGTGGTGAGGATGCCAGAATGAGAAGGAGATGGGGTGGTGAGGCTGTTGGAGAGGTTTAGAGGGAGGAACCTGTGGGTGCAGTGAAAGGCAGGAGGCAAAGCAGAAATGACATCATCAATGGGATTGTTAGGATTATCAGGAGGGTTTAGTGGTGTAGGGTGAGTCAGAAGTGCTGGGGCCAACTCTCATGTCTGAATGAGAGGGATGCATCCTAAAAGCAACACAGGCTGGCAGGTAAGGTGTCTCCAACCACTTGCTGTTGTGAAAGCAAATGCTGTCTAGGTTGCAGAGAATGCTAAAATTGAAAGTGCACTGTTCTGGCCAGAAGCTGTTATTGTTCAGTTTATATTGTATCCAAGCTGTTGGGCAATAAGAGATTAGTCATTTTGGTTTAGAGTTCTCTCTGAGACCAAGCGTGTTTTTGTTCTTTAAAAGACAACTGAGTAGAGTGTGTTTTTGTGGGTGGGAAGGAGTATTTCCCATAGTGTTCAAATTAGAGGGGATCTGAAGGCCAAAGCCACTCACAACCCCTAAGGAGGGTTATCACCCTAGTTGGGGGTGTGACAGAGATGCCCCATTCACCCCTTCAGTTGTCATCCAGAGGATGGAGGGGTGTCCTGACAAGGGACCCACAATATTTAGAGAGAGGGAGAGTAAAAGGAGAGACTCACCTGTGGGGAGCAGATTGGATCAGTGTTGGACGGAGGCAGACAAACCCAAAGGCAGAGATGAGAGGAATAAGAAGGTTGGCTGATTGGCTGGGGAGAGCAAATTAGGGTAGCACCCAGAAGCTGCAGGCCTCAAATGATCTGAGTTATCACAACATAATGTTACCTCTTTTGCATAGCTGAGAGACATAAATAGAGATAAAATACCTTTATTGTTGGTGCAAAAGGACTGGTGGAAATTTCAAGGACACTCAAAAAGTCAGGGAGAGTATGGGATAGGAGTGGAAACTACATGAGTGGACATGTCACTATGTTGGGAAAGGACTTGAAGACCTTTGGTACAGTGGGTGGAGACTGAGTGGACAGTGCTGTGAGTGGTTTGGAGGACCTTCAGCACATGCACAGAAGGGTCACAGAAAATTTATTGTCTTGGGACCAAAAGATGAACACGGGAGTTAGTGTAAAGAGACTTGCTGTTGTTTTAGGTGTCAGTGCCGTGTTGGGCAGGTGGCATACTGAGCCTGGCAGACTCTCATATGAGCAGAACCTATCGCTGTCTTTACGTAAGATGTTATTCCTGGCTGAGTAGGTAACAGGATTTCGGTATAATTTTTGTAACTTCTTATGAGCTTACAATTATTTTAAAATACAATTTTAAAGATATTCATTACATCTTCATTTATTTTTGCAGTGCTGGTCATTCACACAGGGTCTGGTACATGCTAGGCAAGTGTTCTCCCAGTTAGCTATACACCCACAGCCCTGTGTTTCTGCTTTTTAAAATTCTAAAACATTTAAAATCTTGTGTGTGCCACCATAGTGCAGACAGTGTGCTATTGACAGTACTAGCGACACAGATGTCATACAACAGAATAGAAGACCCAGAAGAGCACACGCACACACACACACACACACACACACACACACACACACACACACACTCATAGATTGATTTTTAACAAAAGTGCAAAGGCAACCCAGTGGAAGAATGCTACTGGCTTCGACATGCGGGACTGGAGTAACTGGACACTGCAGCCTAAAAATGAACCACAGTCTAAAGGACACACCATATACAAAAGTGAAATAACAATACCAGTGCAGAAAGGTCTGTGCTCATCGTTACATCAACTGTAATACCATTTGCAGTAACTGTTTAAAAAGAGAAAGGAGCAACGTAGATGTGTATTGTTCAGAAAAGATGTGAGTAAATTATGGACTATTCATATGTGGTGCAAGGTTCTAACATTCAATATCTTGTTTAGAAATCAGAGGGTGTCTATTCAATAGAAATAAAAGATGGTTGCTTAAAATGCAAGTATGCATAATACAAGCACATTTAAAAATAAGGGATATAGTAAGGTGCATAAACATATTATTGAGGCATAGAATTATATTCCTCAGTAATACTTTACATAGATTTATCAACATATATTCTATATGGTTATTTCATGAGAGATCAGAATTAAGATAGATATCTAACTATAGATAACACATTTCTGTTGATGTAATATACACCTACACAGATACAAATCTATAGAATCTATAAACCTATATATTTACAACTATGTAGCTTTGTGTCTAAAAATACAGATAACCTATACATCTTAAATATTATAGGTAGATGATATGTAAGCTTAGCATATTATATCTGATAGATACATAGAAAAGCTATGACTATATATTAGATCTATACAGGATTCTATATTGACATCTATATATAAAACACTATAAAATGAAAGTCAGGGAAAGTGCTGTAGATGAGGATATGAACCCTAACGAATATTCCACATCAAGTGTGACTGACCATACATGCATGAGACCATGCCAATATTTTTCAGATTTAATATATCTGCATTGTTTATACTGTGAACTGCTATGATAAGATAGCATTGCTTCTATAACTTAGAAAACAACTATTTTGGTGAGAAGAAAAATAATTCTTTTAGTCTGAGCTTGAGAGCCAATGTGTTTTCCTGCTGAGTCCCCTGGCAGCTTTCCACTCCCCAGTATGCTCCCGGAGCAGCTGCCCACAGGCACGGGAGGCACCCCCACCCAAGCTTGGCTTCTGCAGCACTGACTGGAAGACCAAAGCCGCTAGGGCCACCAGATCCACCCAGGTGGAGGACACAGGGGTCTTCTCTAAAATCCTGCTCTTGGCATAAACTACCCCCTCCAGAGGAGGTTCTGCCTTCCACAAGCCATAGGATGCATTTTTCCAGCAAAGGTTTCTGTGGTCAAACTCATTTGAGAGAATGACTTACATCGGTGATGAACACATGCGGCAGCAGGCTGTTTGTCCCACTGAAAGGTCGAAAAGGTTCTCTCTTCCTGTCGTACACACTTCCTCCATACCCTTGATTTCTTGAGTGTGACCAGGATTTCAGTACAGCCAATGTTCTGGGAGGTCCCACTGAAAAAATAAAACCAACCTTCAAGATCACCCCAAATACCCCTGCCTTTGGAGGACAGAATTGGAGTTTGAACCCAGCACCTTTGTACTGAGCTCCATCTCCGGGCCTCTTTTAAATTCTTTCACTGTGAGATTGGGCCTCATTTAGTCACTGTGATGCTCAGGCTGGGCTCAAATGTGCTATCTCCCTGCCTCAGTCTCCCAGAGTGCTGGAAGTACAGGGGTGCAAACAGATAAAAAATATACCAGTTTAATTAAACAGAACATACTGCTCTGATAACCCTGAGGGAAAAGAAGGGACCTCTGGGAGGAGATGCATTGGAGGGATGAGAAAGAAAGTAGAATCAAGCCTAGCCCATGTCATCAAAGTGCCAAGGAGAGGAACAAAGAAAGTCAGGAAGTGAAGGGGAAGGAGAAAATACAGAGGACCTATGCTGTGGGCATGTTAACTGAAAATATCTTGTTCTCATTACAGCAAAACAGACTGAGGTGCAGAGATGAGCACAATGTGATCAGATGGCAGGGCCCACCCCAAGTGTTCTGAGGCTGGAGCCTCAGACTTTCCTGATCTCAACTGCCAGCCCCATTCGGGAGAGGATCTTGGTTTGGGATGTTTTAGTCTTGTTCCTGTCTGGACCATCTTCAGATTCCAAGGTGGTCAGCAAGCCCACAATGTGAGACCCAGGTAACTTCCCTGGGACTGTCCCATTCAAGGCACACAAGTCAGCTCGCTGAAGGACCTCAAGGGGGCACTGGCCTGTGTGCAAAAGGAGGTGGCAGAGTGGGAGGGTGGGGGAAGCACAGCGGAGCATCTGCTGGAACCAGGAGCAGGAAGGGAGAATTCTTAAGGGAAGCAGTGCTGAAGCTGACAGGAAAGTGTCTCAGTAGGACTCCGCTTGGAACTAAAAGGCTAAGCAGGTCTGCACCCCTTGCCACTTGTTAGCTAGGGGAGAGTAAGTGAAGTAACTGGTGGGAGTTTAGGAATCTGTGAAATAGGAGTTCTCACATCAACTCATGAGGATTCATTGTGGGGGTCAACAGCTGTTGGGTCATCCCAGCACTCGGGAGGCTGAAGCAGGAGGATCACTGCAAGTTTGAGACCAGCCTGGGCTACAAAGTAAGCTCAAGGCCAGCCTGAACTGCACAAGCAGACTCTGTCTCAAACTAAAAAACAAAACACAAAATAAAAACCCCTGAAAATAGAAATTCCATAAGATTCAACTATTCTTCTTCTAGGTATCCTCCCCCGAAAAACATATCATAACAGTGATACGTGCAGGCCTGAGGATTTAGCTCAGTGGTTTAAGCACTTGCCTGCTAAGCACAAGGCTGTCAATTAGATCCCCACTGCTAGAATAACAAATAAATAAATTAATGATATGTGCATACCCATGTGTACTGCGGCACGTTTCGTAATAGCTAATGTAGCTTCAGTGTGGGTGGCTTATGTTTCTTCTCTTCAAAATGTCCCTAAGAACAGCCTGGCTTCTTTGCTCAGCTCTCTGGCCATGGCGCTGGTGCTTATGGAATGTGTCCCAGGATGGGTCCATCACCTTTTGGCCAACATCAGCGCAGCTCAACAAACGATCGATGTCAGTGACATCTTGGTCTCTTGAGTCTGACTCAACACCATGGTGGGCATGCATTGCAGTGAGTCGGCAACAGACGGGCTGGTGGCCCCTTGAAGCCCCAGCTGGTTCAGGCACGTGCTCCCCTCACCTGTTATTTTTGGGGTGACTTCACTTTCTTGTGGTCCTGAGGGCAGGAGTAAAGGCTGAGTCAGGGGTGAGCAGTGTGTTGCAGACCTTATGAGCTATTGGGCCCATTGGAAGTGGTACACAAAGCTGTGGCCCCTCCCTCGCCATCTTCCAGGCCTGGGAGCGCAGGGCAGTGCCCCTTCCCTGTCCCTTGTGGTGCCCTGCCACTCTCTCTGCGGGTTCTGGCCCCATGAGCTTCCCATGGTCTTCCCACGGGCTTGTCTTATGGTGTTGCATTACTTCAGTGCTTATTTCTTGGAGAAACGGCTCTTTGTTTTTTCCCAGTTTGTCGTTGGGTTTTCTAGCCTCAAGAAATCTCCACTCCAAAATGACTTTTCTCTTGAGTGCTTCCTCCACTATCTGCTACCGTATTTCAGGTATTTCAGTTTGTCTCAGTGTGGGATGCTTTACTTGGACTTGTAAGAACCACTGTATGGGTGTGGTGATGGACACCTATGATCCCAGCACTCAGCAGGCTGAGGTAGGAGGATCACTGCACATACAAGACCAGTGTGGGCTACATAGTGAGTTCAAGGCCAGCCTGCAGTGCATAGTGAGACCTTGCATTAAAACACAATTAAAACAACAGCAAAGCCCAAAATGTGTAACTGTCATTGTAAATAAGAGAGGAAAAGAAAGTGCTCTGAAGGATATAACTATGTATATTTAAGCATATAAGATAGATAACCATATTACTGAGTTTTTGTTGGATCATTGAACAGAACTGTTTGCAGTCTCACTGTTTGAATGTCCACTTTATATGTTTTAATTTTGTAACTTGAACAACTATTTCTAAGATGACAATGTGTAATCTATTAACTAGTGATTTCCTACTGTTTATTTTTTTGAAATTCTGTATTACTTGTATCCTTTTTGTTTTCTTTTTCTTTTTCTCCTTGATAAAATTAAAAAAAAAAAAAAACAATAGCAAAGCCCAAAATCCAAAAACAGTGTAGCAGTGATTTAACACCCAATCTTTGGGGCTCTGCAGAGAGTTGAATCTTGTTCTCAAGGCAGAGACACATTATCCCTGGACTCAACCTATCGTATAGCATCTTTGAAAAAAGCAACCCCCAAATCCAACCACAATGTAATGAAACCCTGTAGTAAGTTAATTTTCTTTTTTCTTTCAGCTTTTTTTTTTTTTTTTTTTTTTTGGTCTGTTTGAGACAATGTCTTGCTATGTAATGCAGGCTGTCCTTGAACTTGCTTTTCTAGCCCCAGCTGGCCTTCAACTCATGGAGATTCTCCTGTCTCGGCCTCCCAAGTCTGGGATTACAGGTGTGCACCACCACAGCTGGCAACAATGAGTGAATTTAAAGATCAATCCAAAGCTATGAGGATGTATGCAGCTCAGTGCTCCATGAACTCAAGGGGACTGAGATGGAAGGGGAGAACATAAAAACAACTGAGATGTGCTATGTGCTGGTTCTGCCTGTGTGAAGCTCTGCCAGGCTCAGCAGGGAGCCTGGCCAATATGGCCCTGGACAGCGCCTCCCTTCAACGCTGACTGACTCCCACATTCTTCTTGCAAACCTGAAAATTGAACTCCCTGCTTCTCTTGCACAAGCCAACATCCCCAAGTCAGCTGTCTCAAAGTCTCTCTGCCCACCCCTTCAACTCCACCTGTCAAACTAAAGAAAAGCCCAGGGCTTCTCTGTTTGAGCTGAGGGGACGATGCACTCTCCTGCAGCCCTCCTGTACCTGCAATAAAGGCCTTTCCCCATTTTCTTTTCCTTTGCTCTTGTTTTGTGCAGTGAGAGGAAAAATCTATCATTTTTGGTGCCATAACTCAGACTGACAGGCAGGGTGGCTCCTGGGACAAGTCCCCGTTTGAGCCCCCCATCGATGAGCCCCCTCTCTGCTTTTTCTCTTCCCTGTTTTTCCTCTTTCTCTCATCTCTGCGGCTGCCATTGCTAGCCTCCATCCAATACCAAACCACCTCGTTCTCACAGGGCAGGCACCTCGTGCTTTGGGGTGCCTGTCTTGTAACTCATGGGCTCATGTCAGGATTTCCCCCACATCCTTCAGGACCCACACCCCTTTTTCCCTAAGTGACAACTGGCAGGTGCAGGTGTTGGAGTCTACAGAGTATTTCTCTCTCCCACAAGCCTGAGAAGGGTGATGACTCTAAGGGATTGTGGCTCAGTTTTTGGAGCCTCCATCCAGCTCACCTCTCATTTGGTCACAATGGGAAATACTTCTTCCCACTCCCCAAAACACACATTTCCTGCCAGACAGCTGGCCACAGTATTCATAATGGCCACCACTGGCCAGAGGGGGGCGACATACACTAGGCCACCCTCTGCAAACTGGATGACTTCTGCAATCACAGTGGCAAGCCCAAGTAGGGGCCTGTTTTGCTCTCAGGGAGTGTCCCTCCCTCCTTCAGCATATGGGGTGGCCCCAGCTCTTTGGCCTGCTCCACACCATCGACCTCTGCCATATCCCCAAGAAACTTCCTGCTTTTCTCTGTTGCCATCTTCTCCGCCCCTCGCCATCACCTTGTGTCTCCTCCTGCTCTGGCCATTTCCCCACCTGCCCATCACACCCCAACTCACTCCTCCAGCCTCCACTGCCTTCTGACCCCTCGCAGCCTCTGTGTCCCCTCCTGCTTGCCACCACCTGCCAGCTCTGCATGGCTGCTGCTATCTCCACCCCAGGCTGCTTCAAAGTGTCACTCAGCCAACCTCTCCCTCCTATCTGTGAGGTGACAGGTACTGAGGACTTGGTCCAGTTTACGTCCTTTTTTCTCTCTTTGCCTTTTCCCGTATCTCACAGCACTGAGGGCCTTAGCTACCAACCCGTGTCATTCTGTCAAAGAGCTTCATTTCAGGGTAAACTCCTATGACCTCCTAATAGCTGTCTTTGCTTTACTACTATCTTTTCTTTCACAGTTATAAAAAGGTGTGTTCCTTTTGTTTGTTATTTCAAGAGATCTCTGTTAATTGCTTGCAAAAAGGTTCTCACTAGTCTATTTACAATTGTACAACTTATAAATGTTATGAGAAATCAAATTGGCCAAATATATTTGAGTGCACACTGATTGTGCTTGTCTGTTAAACTGTGTATGTTCTGGACTGTGTATTTATCTCAGCAACATAATTGCCTGTCTGGCAAGCATATGGTCATGAGGTTATGAGTTCCAGCCCTGGTACTAAAAAACAAATACCTAAACAAAAAAATTGTGTATGTTTCTATGTCCTGTACAGATTGTCTATATTTATTTGTTTGTCATATCCATGAACAATTGTTTTTTACTTGTGTTCAACAATTATTTCCTTTCCCATATTTGGATCACTGGTTCAAAATATAATATGGGTTATATGTCTAAAACCCTGCTTCCACCTGAGTTGCCAGGTCATCAAAATGATGCTATAATTGGTTATACAAATTTGACAATACTGTCATTTATGTTTCATGATGCAACAGTCTCTCGTCGTTTAAAAATAGTATGCTAAATGTGGTGTCTGGATTTTTCATAAGTCGCTAAGAAATTGTTAAGATAATTAAAATCCTGTAGGATGGGGGGCATTATTGGATAGGACTTCAGTGGAGTTGATGATTCAGAAAGTGCCTACTTGGTAACATTTATCCAGTTCTTGTTCATTGATCAGAGGCTCCAATGACCTCCATCGCCTTATGGGAGACATCCCAACTAAAATTCAAAAACACATTGCTGTATCATGTTCACATTGGTCATTGTCAAAAGAAATCATACAATAATTTTTTTGATTTAAATATGCTCTGAGACAAAGTTCACATGAAATGATACATTGTTATTAACTTTATGGTGTATTAATATACTCATGCTTCCAGATAAACACACATGGGCACAACAGCATGACAGTTACAGTTCACAAAGCCACCCTGACTCAAGGTAGCAACAATCCCCTCTTCAAATCCCATGCAAAGCCCCTGAGCCCTTGAGAGAGGGCCATGCTGGTATTTCTTTGCCATCCCTCAAACAGAAGCCAGCTCCCCACGGGGCTCGGTAACCTGTCTTTCACAACACCTTATCCTATGGAAAAGTGCAGTGCAGTGGTCTTAGGGTCACTGTTAAGCTACTTCATTCAATTACTCTATTTTATCATAGCACGAAAGCAAGCACAGGTAACATGTGAACATAGTGGCATGGCATTGTTGTGGTCAAACTTCATATACTAAAACAACATATGAGCCAGGATAGCAGTCCCCGATACTGACGCGAAGAACAACTGAAGAACAAGACAATCTGAGTGTGGTGAAGCACACCTGTAACTGCAGCACGTGGGAGGCGGAGGCATGAGGATCCCTGTGAGTTCTAGGCTGGTTACACAAGGAGATCCCGTGCAACAGGAGTAGGGAGGGAAGGAGGGAGAGAGAGAGAGAGAGAGACAGAGAGGGAGAGAGAGCAAGAGAGAGAGAGACAGAAACAAAGAGGGAGAGTGAGAGACAGAGAGATAGAGGGAAAGAGAGAGACAGAGAGACAGAGAGGGAGAGAGCCAGAGAGACAGAGAGAGAGAGAGCTCTTGAAGCTTGAAATAACACCAGGAGAGGCTGCGCTGTTGGCTTACTTCTTGGAGGAGTGTTTTTTGTGGATGTGGTTATAAGCCTGACATTAGGTCTCAAGTGTATCCCAGGCCAGACTTGATCTTCATGGCTGAAGCAGTCACTAGGACTGCCGGCACCTCCCTAGTCTTGGGTGTCTGTTTTATGGAGCAAAGTTGACTGAGGTAGATCAAGTCATTTGTAGTAAATTCCCATTTCTTTTTCCTGACTCTGAAATGCATCATTCGCTTGCTGGGAGAAAACCCAAGGCCTCTGTGATGTGGGGTTGGGGCTATGGCTGCCTTTCCCAAGCAGAGGATTACATTCTGCTTGTGGAATGCACTTGACTTGATCTAAGGGGCCCCTGCCTTCTGCTGAGTGGCTGCTCCCTCAAATGGAGTCCTAGAGTGGGCGGCTGAACCCCAAACCCACACGGAACTATATGTCATAAAACAGTGAGCTGTGAGGTCCCTATTCAGCAACATGTCAGGCAAAGCCTACTTACTTCCTATCTCAGAGCTGGCTAACAGGCAAGTCAAAGACCACTAAGGTCCCAGATAAAGGCACACTTTTTCAGGTGGTTCACAGGTTGAAATTAACTAATACAGTGTCACGTGACTGTGGTAAGGCATTGCTAGAATGCCAGTTTTCTAGGGGACTGAGGCAGGAGGATCAAGTTTCAGCCCAGCCTAGGCAACTCAGCAACTTGATGAGACCCTATCTCCAAATAACAAATTAAAAAAAAAAAAAAAAGGGCTCAAGAGAGCTTAGCACCATGTCCCTGGGTTCAATGCCCAGTACTACAACAAACAAACAGTTCCTGTGTGGATTACTGGAACCGAAAAGCATTTTTCAAAATAATTTGCACTCGAAAAGTAAGTTACTTTATAACAATTGATATAGACAATAGCAGGTCAGGTGTGGTGCATGCCTATAGCGTTACTCCCCTCAGGAGGCTGAGGCAGGAGGACTGCAGAAAGTCCTAGGACAGCCTGGGCTACACAGTGAGTTCAAGAATGCCCTGAAGGACACAGTGAGACTCTACCTCAAAACAGTAACTGACAAAAAGAATAAAACTATGCATACATTATGATTGCTCAAAGAAAACAAGGTATAAATATTTCAAAGAAAAGCCCATTATTTGAGCTTAGGGAAATCTCTACTTGTTATTAATCTAAAGAACAGATTTCACGAGCTATTATCCAATGAGCACATCTTTTAAAGTTTCACTTTATTCCAATAAGAATACTGAAAACATCACACTGACCATAAATATGATCAATAGCTCCTAATTAATAAAGAGCTGCACTGGACATGGCAGTACATGCTTGTAATCCCAGTTGTTCAGGAGTGTTCCAAGCCTGAAGCCAGCCTTGGTAAGTTGGCAAGATCTTGTCTCCAAACAGAACTGAAAATGGGCATGGATGTCACTGTACATCAGCATTGCCAGGGTGTAGCCAGCATTATGTCTGTTCATGCACAGAAGTATATGTGAGGGGAGAAACACACACAGAGAGAACAGAAGACGGTTACTGATAACCCCACTACGAATTATACCAACTGGTGACACTCTGGAGACTTCTCTGCATCCTGACTGACAAATACAGAAATGCACACAAGTATTACAATTAAATGCTGGGACCTTGTGAATGTCCAAAACTGCTCCTGCTCCTCAAATATCAGACCAGGTATCATTTCTATGACTAAGACATTCCCTTTTTAAGAGTACACAGTCACTTTACTGTTATTTAAAATGACCGATTCTACATCAGAGTGTTAACTGAAGCTAAAAAGCAATTACAGATTAGGAGAGTTCCCCAAACATCGCAAATTCATTTCACTTGAAACTTGTTTAAATGACATATCAGAGACAACAATCCAAAAACTACAAGGTGCAAATCTTTGCTGGTCTTCAGCATGTGGCAATCCTCTTGTTTCAGCCTCCTGAGTGCTGAGATCAAAGGCACACATGGCAACACCTGGCCCAGTGGAATTCTTGTTAGATTGTGGTGAGATCCTTTTCAAGCTACAGAATAGTTTCCTTGAGTGCTGGATCTGCTGCCCAGTTGACTTTACATCCCAAAATGACG